TTCAGATATCCCTCTTCCTCTCTCCCCCTCCCTTTTTCATGGTCAGATCTGAAAAGAGAGAGAACTGGGCATACATGCTGGTTCGAAGGGTAGCTCCTTGCGCGCCAATATCTTTTGGTTCTTTGGATGCTTTGCTTGAAAACTTGTTCCTTCCCTCCTAGCAGCCCTTCACGTGTGGATCCCTTGGCTTCTTTGTGGCCCTCCTCTTCAGCCAAGTGCTGAGGGCTTTGGATCCCCTTTATTCAGCTTGTATGGGTTTTTTAATATGAAAAATCAAGTTATCCAATAAGTGGGCTAAATTCACCAAACATTTGGGCTTCGTGGGCTATCTAAGGTAATGGGCTATTTGGGTTAATTTTAGTGGGCTATTTTGGTTGGGATATTTTCTCTCTTGTGCTTACCCATGTTTTTGGGCCTAAGAAATGGGCCTGAGTTCCGAGGCTCCCAAGCGACCCGGAACCTCCATTTCTCGGTCCATCAATGGGCCTTATGACAACTTATTACCATCCATACCACAACCCACTCAAGCAAGCCCCGGGCATTCGAGTGGCTTTGGCCCCCTTAGGCTTGTAGCGTGATTGGGTGTGTAATAATGATTTCCTGCTTGGCAAGACATGTCGCTTGGCATGGCATATCGCTTGGCATGCTTTTAATCATTATGCTTGATGGGATAATTAGCATGGATTTGCAGAGCTAATGCACTTTATAATCTTAATCTTGATTCCTAGCATGACGGATTATTTATTTGGCATGGCACGTGGAGTGTGACTCGTGCATGGCAGTCTTTTGTGTGCTCCAAGTCAGGTTTTTCCTCAATAAGGTGTTGTACTGGGCCGGGAATTTATTTGGGTCCAACTGTGGATTTTTTGGGCCTCAACAGATGGGAAAAAATATTAGAATTCAAATTAGAGATTGAGGATTCAGGGGGATGGAAAAGATCTCCTCAAACATAAAGGAATCAAACTGAACCGGTTCAGCAATACCAGTCTATACAATGAGTGGTCAATTTGATGGAAAAAAAATATGAGAATTCAAGTTAGAGATTGGGGATTCAATGGGATGGAAAAGGTCTGCAAAAACAAAAATGAAACGAACTGAACCGGTTCAACTATACTAGTCTGTTTCATGAGCTAAGGTTGGCTGATTCGAAGGACATGAGTGCTCAATTTGATGGGAAAAAATATGAGAATTCAAATTAGAGATTGAGGATTCAAGGGGATGGAAAAGATCTCCCCAAATATAAAGGAATCGAACTAAACCGGTTCAGCAACACCAATCTGTACAATGAACCAGGGTTGGCTGATTCACAGGCTAGGTGTGGTCAATTTGGTGGGAAAAAATATGGGAATTCAAATTAGAGATTGAGGATTCGAGGGGACATAAAAGATCTTCTAAAACATAAACGAATCGAACTGAATCGGTTCAGCAATACCAGTATGCACCGTGAGCAAGGGTTGGCTGAGGCAAAGGCTAGAAGTGGTCAATTTCATGGGAAAAAGTATGAGAATTCAAATTAGAGATTGGGCATTTAAGGGGATAGAAAAGATTTGCTATAGCACAACTGAAAAGAACTGAACCTGTTCAACTGTACCAGTCTGTTTCATGAGCTAGGGTTGGCTGATTCAATGGCTAAGAGTATTTAATTTGATGGTAAAAGATATGAGAATTCCAATTAGAGATTGAGAATTCAAAGGGATGGAAAAGATTTGCTAAAACATACAAGAATCGAATTGAACCGGTTCAACAACACCAGTTTGTAGAATGAGCTAGGGTTGGTTGATTCAAAGGCTTGGAGTGGTCAATTTGATGGGGAAAAAATATGAGAATTCAAATTAGAGATTTAGGATTTAATGGGACGGAAAAGATCGCCTAAAACATAAAGGAATCGAACTGAACCGGTTCAGCAATACCAGTCTGTACAATGAGCTAGGGTTGACTGATTTAAAGGCTAGGAGTGGTCAATTTGATGGGAAAAAATATGAGAATTCAAGTTAAAAATTGAGGATTCAATGGAATGGAAAAGATCTGCTCAAACATAAAGGAATCGAACTGAACCGATTCAGCAATGCCAGTCTGTACAATGAGCTAGGGTTGGTTGATTCAAAGGCTAGGAGTGGTCAATTTTATGGGAAAAAATATGAGAATTCAACTTAGAGATTGAGGATTCAATGGGACTGAAAAGATCTCCTTAAACATAAAGAAATCGAACTGAACCGGTTCAGCAATACCAATCTGTACAATGAGCTAGGGTTGGCTGATTCAAAGGCTAGGACTGGTCAATTTCATGGGAAAAAATATTAGAATTCAAATTAGAGATTGAGGATTCAAGGGGACATAAAAGATCTTCTCAAACATAAAATAATCGAACTGAATCGGTTCAACAATACCAGCATGTACCGTGAGCTAGTGTTGGCTGAGGCAAAGGCTAGAAGTGGTCAATTTGATGGGAAAAACATAAGAGAATTCAAATTAGAGATTGGGGATTTAAGGGTATAGAAAAGATCCGCTAAAGCATAAATAAAAGGAACTGAACCGGTTCAACTGTACCAGTCTATTTCATGAGTTAGGGTTGGCTGATTCAATGGCTAGGAGTATTTAATTTGATGGTAAAAGATCTGAGAATTCAAATTAGAGATTGTGGATTCAATTGGATGGAAAAGATCTGCTAAAGCATAAAAGAATCGAACTAAACCGGTTCAGCAATACCAGTCTGTAGAATGAGCTAGGGTTGGTTGATTCAAAGGATTGGAGTGGTCAATTTGATGGGAAAAAATATGAGAATTCAAATTAGAGATTGAGGATTTAATGGGATGGAAAAGATCGCCTAAAACATAAAAGAATCGAACTGAACCGGTTTAGCAATACCGGTCTGTACAATGAGCTAGGGTTGGCTGATTCAAAGGCTAGGAGTGGTCAATTTGATTGGAAAAAATATGAGAATTCAAGTTAGAGATTGAGGATTCAATGGGAAGGAAAAGATCTGCTGAAACATAAAGGAATTGAACTAAACCGGTTCAGCAATACCAGTCTGTACAATGGCTAGGGTTAGTTGATTCAAAGGCTAGGAGTGGTAAATTTTATGGGAAAAAAATATGAGAATTAAGCATCATGTCATACACTGATCCACCTTCCATCAACTTTGTCACAACGCACAACCCATGATTTTCATCAATGCAAACGACATAAAACTACAAAATGTTCTTGTTCCCACATGTCATGAGCTCCAAAAGATCTCTTTGGAGCTCAAAGTCATAAGAATTTCCCTTGTCACACCCTTTAAGCTTCTCAATTCCATCCTTTTTCCCCTTGTAAACTCCCTTATATGAATTGGGTCCAATCTGATCAACAAAGTCAATATTATCAGAGTTCAACAACCACTTCCCTATCTCATCCCCACCAGATTGTATTGTTTGCCATTCATCTACAGATACAACGAATGACGAAGTGGGTAGAGGGTTGGGAAGCTGAATCTTTTGGCTAGAAATATCAACTCCATTCCTATAATTTTGCTCACCAATATCCTCTTCAATATCTCCCACCTCTCTCCCCTTACTCCCTAGCAGCCCCAACCCTCCGCACAGTCGTCGACAACCCAGATGAGCCCTGGCCTCTTTTTCTGTTGGACCTCCAGCAGCTACAACCCACCATCTCCATCTCGCTGAATTCAGAAGCCATCAAATTTGGTTGCAGACCTTCGAGTACAAAACAACAAAAACAATGAATTTTTTTTCTTTCAATTTGCTGGTTTTTGAATTTGCAGAGAGAGGGGTGGGTTGGGTTTGGCTGGGGGTGGAGTGGGGCATGTGTTGCCACTGATGCTAGGGGTTGTCTAGGTTGTTGGGGAGAAGAAAATACCGAGGGGAGAGGGAGATCATAGAGAAAGGAAAGGGAGAGAGAGAGAGAGAGAGAGGGAGAATGAGGGAGAAGAAATCTGGGAAGGGTGGCTTGGGGATGATGGGTTTTTTATTTTAGATATTTATAAAAATACCCAATCCTAGACATGTATTTATAAAAATACCCAAGCACTATTTAAACATAGAAACATACCCAAAATGGATTTTGGGTATGTGTGTAATGATGGGTTTTGGGTATGTTTATAAATGGGTTTTGAGTGTGTGTAATGATGAGTTTTGGGTATGTTTATAAAGTGTTTTGGGTGTTGGGTATTTTTATAATTTCAGCCCCTATTTTGGGTATTTTAGTGAAACTCCCTTTTTATTTTTTGTTTTTTGAAATTTGTTATATTTAAATATTCATATACACCTAATACAGAGGGGAGAGAGAGATCACACAGAGAGGAAAGAGAGAGAGAGAGAGAGAGAGAGAGAGAGAGAGAGAGAGAGAGAGGGAGAATGAGGGAGAAGAAATCTGGGAAGGGTGGCTTGGGGATGATGGGTTTTTTATTTTAGATATTTATAAAAATACCCAATCCTAGACATGTATTTATAAAAATACCCAAGCACTATTTAAACATAGAAACATACCCAAAATGGATTTTGGGTATGTGTGTAATGATGGGTTTTGGGTATGTTTATAAATGGGTTTTGAGTGTGTGTAATGATGAGTTTTGGGTATGTTTATAAAGTGTTTTGGGTGTTGGGTATTTTTATAATTTCAGCCCCTATTTTGGGTATTTTAGTGAAACTCCCTTTTTATTTTTTGTTTTTTGAAATTTGTTATATTTAAATATTCATATACACCTAATTTATTAAGAGAAGGAATATTGGTGGGGGATGGGTGAGGTCAAAGCCCTAAATCCATAACTTTTAAAAGACAATTTTAATTTTTAATTTTTTTTCTTCACACATGGCACTTAGTTTAGTCAAATAGTGGGTCCTATTGGTGCCACATCAGCATTTTTAACAGAATTTTTAACGGACTTGACGGTGATGGGCAAAGTGAGATACAACACATCGGTCAATGGGGCAAAATAGGTCACTTTAACTTTAAGGAGGCAAAATGAGAATTAACTAATATTTCAGGATGCACTGTAGCAATTAAGCCTTCTCAAACTATATATATATAATTCGGTGACAAATCTCGAAAAGGAAAGTGAAGGTGGTAATTGAGAATATGGTTCAGGCAGGGTTACAATACTTAGGATTTAGGGTTTAGGGTATTTGGTGTTTGACGATTTGCGGCGGGAATCACTATATTTCGTATAGAGGGAGAATGGCCGTGGCGCAGTTATGGTGGAAATTATCATATTCAAATTCATGGGTTAGAGTAGTTGGAGTTTCAAGAAGAAGCAGTGGCGCAGCTGCTAAGCCTGCTATATTTCAGGCATCATGTCCACCTCCGTCTCCAGCCATAGCTGTGAAAATAAGAAGAAAATGCTTAAGCAACTGGAGGTGGACGCAACAGCCACCACAATTACTGGAAGACAAGAAAAGCGACGCCTCCTTCTTCATACGGTGCTCTAAGTACGGGAGCAGCATTGGTGCCGCAAGTAATACGAATAGCGGAAAGGGATATCTGGCATCTACGGACCAAGAGCTGATGAGTCAGTGCCAAATGGACACTTTCAAGGCGTCGGGCCCAGGGGGTCAGCACCGTAACAAGCGAGAGTCTGCCGTACGCCTCAAGCACCTCCCCACCGGACTTACTGCGCAGGTCTCCTTCTTTGCTTCTAAATGCTCTAAACGCTCTATATGCTCAATATTCAATTAATTGAATTCCAATTTAGGCTGTGGAGGACCGATCCCAACACATGAATCGTGCCTCAGCCTTGGCTCGCCTTCGCGCTCTTATAGCTCTAAAAGGTGTGTTCACTCCATTTCAATCTTCTTTTAATTTCCACATCCTCAATTATCAAATGATTATTTACTCTTGTCTTGAGCTAGTCTGGTCTAGTCAGGAACACACTGGATCTTGATGCTTATTCCCCTCCTCAAGAGCTTCTTCAAATTCTTCCCCCAAAGTCTACCATTAGAGGATCAGATTGTGGTCCCCAAATTGGACCCAATAATCCTAAGTTCATTTTGGTATGTAATTATCTTTGATTTAAGTCATTTGGCTTTGTAACGATCCTAACACTAGCTACTCTCCTTTGCAGGGAATGCAAGCTCTGTTGGATCTCATTTTTGCAGTTGAGGGTTCTGTCTCAGAGGCAGCCAAGTTTCTGGGGTAAACAATTACAAATATTCTCTACACTTTTCTTTGTAATTAGGCACGTTAGCAATGTTATCTTCTAACAACTATCTGCAACTCCCATCCTTTTCCAGTTGGCTCCATCTTTAGATTGAGTAGTGAATTTGTATGGAGACACCATCTACATGCCCCAAGGAAATTCTAATGGGTTCAAAGAATGGCCTAATTAAGTTATCATCAATAGCAAATTTTTCCACTTTTTAAATATAAATAACTACCATCTGCCAGTTAGAATGAACATCCACTGGAGAAAGGACCAAATAAAGATAAACGGAAAGATGACTCTGTTTGATGGTTCACTTACTTACATGGGACATGGAAACTTTTTGTTTATTGTGCACAAACATCAGCCCAGTAAGAAAAAAAAGTTTATTATGTCTAAACAATAAATTCGTCTGTGTGATAGCTTTCTTGCTAATTGTTCGAATCGTTAATCAACCCATCCTGTTTGTCTTTTATAAATAATGCAGGTTAAGCACAGGTGCCCTGTCACGGTTAATACTCTCAAATGATTCTCTCCGACTGGCAGTCAATGAACTAAGGTTTTCTAAGGTACAACTTCTAATGGCCACAATAGGAAGTATTGCTTTGGTTTCCTATTGTAGCTTTTGACTTCTGGATGACAACTATTTACTGCATTCGAAATTATTTTCTACTATTCTGGAAAGTAGTAGCCTATGAATAATTACACCCACGAACACCCTCCCCACCCCATGCACACACACACACACTAATACAAGGGGACTATAAGGACACATTTCTTTGATAAACAAATTACTCATTCTCTTGGCATAGCTAGGGAGTTAGTTCTCTATGACAAAGAAACTAAACCCTAGAATAAGAAAATGACAGCCATAAGCAGAAAACAGAGCGTCAGTAGTCCTAAGGTGCCCGTTTATAGTTTTCAATCGCCTTCAAGCCCTAGCAGGAACAAATTTAATTTTTCCTTTCTTTCTTGCATTGCATGTGAGCTTCAGTAGTTTTCCTCTTTTCATTTTTCATACATTAATAAAAAATATAATAAAACTTAATATTAACTACAAACAACATGGCTAATAAGTGCAAATTATAGACGTTGGAATGCACTCTCAGGCTATTATCATTTTCTTTGTTGTTTTTTATCATATTGAAGATGGTTTGCATACCCCAAGAACAAGTCATAATAATAAAATATAAATAAAACTGATATTGGGTGTCGTTGAGCACATGTTAAATCCAGCATGACACTCAAAAATACCCGTTGTTATGTTAGAGCACTCAAGATCCAAGATTTTATATTTTTTGACCCTTCCCAACAAATTTTTTGTTCAAATGCATCATTTACTATTTTAAGTTGGGTTTCATTAAATTTTTCTTGGAAATTTTCTGGATGTTAATCTGTGGTGCCAGTAATACAGACGTTGAACTTTTCTCTGACTTGTGCAGGGTATGAAGCCTCTCAAGTAGAATTTATCAGCTGGCAATTACTTGTTTCAAGTACTAATTGTTGCTTCTTCTTTTTTAATTGTGCAAGAAAATGATATACGTGCACTCTGAAATGTCATTTTTGTCTTAAAAAACCTACTCCAACAGCTAACTTTGCTAGACAATTCTCAAGTCAGATCATGCATAAACATTGGTTTGAGGGTAATGACATGGATGCGTTCTCATAGACATTATCATCAGCGTAGGTTCAAGTTCAACACAGCAAAACTAGAAAAAAAAAATTGGTGGTTCTTTTGGTTTGAGCATTGCTTATAATTGCCAAGGGATTCCTGAAGGAGATATTTAGTAATATACCCATTCTTAACACTAATAATATAGATAAACCCTACACCATTTAATTTCTATAAACAAACTCAAAAAATGACAGCCGACTTTAAATTCAAAAAATGATAGCTGACTCTATTGAATTTAATTTTGATTATTAAATTTCTTTGATGCCCTATTGAATGTTTTGGGTTTTTTTTTATGAGGTTTTAGGGTTGGGTTTGTTTTATGAAATCAATGGTAGTTTTGTAATTTAAAAGAAGTTAAAAACCTTTTGGTTATGTTGTAAATGGGCTTTGGGTGTGTTTCTAAAGTCCATTTTATATAGGTTTTTTTATAATTTGGGCTCCTATATTGGGTATAATAGTAAATCTACCCTTTCTAGAATTGAATTGACACAAGAAATGCCTTCGGGATGAAGGATTAATCTTTGCGCGTTTAAAATTGTAAACTCACTTTAAAGTTTAAAGTCAGATGCATAATACATTTTCGAAGAATTTTCTTCCAACTAGGGGAGGGGGATTTGAAATAGGACGTCTTTCTAGATTGCAAAGCAAATTGACACTAGACCAGAGGTTCAAATTCTCATGACACCTTGCTAGTGTGTGTGTGTGTGTGTGTGTGTGTGAAGACCCTCTTCTTCTTGTAGTTTAAATTATCATTCCATCTAGAGGTGTCAAACGGGTTGTGCAGTATCGGCCTAGCCCATTTAGAGTTGGCCCATTTAATAAACGAGTCATGTCGAGCCCAATTATTTAGGAAAATCATCAATTTCGGCTTGACCCACAGCTCGAGCCCCCGTGCTTGTGTCGTGGCTGTGGGTTCGGGTCGTGCTCATGTCAAACCACTAAACAGGTTGATATGGGCCCACATCAAATGTGACTTATGTATTGTATTTTTTTTGTAATTTTTTTTACTACTTCATTTAAATCTCTTTTATAATTATGTACATACTAATAATATGTACCCTAAAGTTCTCAAAGGGTTGTCCTATTAATGTGATTAAATTACTAAGAAAAAGAGGTCAATAACTTTATTTAAAGTACATTTAAATAGAAAAATGGTTGGATTATTGTTTGAGTTTTAAAAATTGAAACTTGAAAAACAAAATCATTATTTTATATATAAAGAAAATATTAAATTTTAATATATATTCTTAAAGAAAAAAAATGAATTTAAGATATAAATGTAATAATATAATGTATTATTTTTCTCTAAAACAAGTATAATTTAATAAATGGGTTTTAAACGGGTCAGCTCGTTTGGATTGGGTCGGCCTACCTATTAGACCAAATTACCTCATCCCGACACGGCCCAAAGATACGGGTCATGTCGTGCCAGGCCTTATTTAAACGAGCTGTGCTCGTCTCGTGTCGTGTCAAGTCGGCCAGTCCATTTGACACTTCTAATTCCATCCATGCCCCATGTTCGCCTGTCACCTCCATCCTAGGTGCAAAAATCCTCTCAAAATATAAAACAGAAGTGCAGATAATATTTTTAAGTTGGATGCCAGCTATCATGATTTTAGTGGTTTGGGACACTTAGGTAGAATGCTGAGAGTGACATCCCTATGACAAGGAAGTTTTTCTCCTATTGCAGGTCTCATTTTCCCCAATGACATAAAAGATTAAATGGTTGATTCCTAGGCGGCTGATCTAATGTTGAAGCGACTATTGCTGAAGATGCAATGGGTGCCTTGATTCCTAGGCGTCTGTTTTTGTTTTTTAGTTGAAATTAGTAAAATCACACATGGATGAGTTTCCAAGTTTACTCTTTAATTTAACAGAAAGTTTATCGGAGTTAATGAAAATAGGGATATTTGTAGAAATGTCACCTAAACTTATACATCAGTTTTAATTTGTCACCTTAAAGAAAAATTTAAGCAAAATGTCAAGTTTTCAAAATTCATGATTTGTCACCTGACTTTAACATCATCTAATTTTCCATCCATTTTGAAGGGTATTTTAGTCTTTCCAAGCAAGAGGGTTTACATAACTTTATATTTAATATATATATATATATATATATATAAGAGGGTTTACATATTGGAAAGACTAAAATACCCTTCAAAATGGATGGAAAATTAGATGATGTTAAAGTCAGGTGACAAATCATGAATTTTGAAAACTTGACATTTTGCTTAAATTTTTCTTTAAGGTGACAAATTAAAACTGATGTATAAGTTTAGGTGTAGTCTTTCCAAGCAAGAGGGTTTACCTAACTTTATATTTAATATATATATATATATATATATATAAGAGGGTTTACATATTGGAAAGACTAAAATACCCTTCAAAATGGATGGAAAATTGGATGATGTTAAAGTCTTGTGACAAATCATAGATTTTGAAAACTTAAGGTGACATTTTGCTTAAATTTTTCTTAAACGTGACCAATTGAAACAGATGTATAAGTTCAAGTGACATTTGTACAAAAATCCCATGAAAATAATGTAAGAGACTATTTGAGGATGACAAATACTATTATTGGAATTTGTGGATAAAAAATAAAATGAGGGAAAATTCAGAGACCATTGATATAAAAGCATCCATATTGGGCTTCCTAAACCACCTTATTAGACAAATTTTAGGGAGAAATTAGAAAAATACAACTTCAACCATGCTTTATATCCACCTCCTAAAATAAGAAGACCTCTAGAAGCTCCTAAATCTGAGGAGAGAGAAAGGACTGCTAGTGACTCACTATAATTTAATGATGTTTTGTTTTATGTATAGTTTAAACTTTTAATTAATATTAACTAATTTTTAATTTTGTTTTTTTGTTATTATTTCTACCCCTTGTCATATTTTCTCACCCATCTTATCTTCAAAATTTTATAAAGATAAACCAATCATATTGAATTAAAAAATAACTAAACTAGAAAATATGATTAGAGTTCAAATTTTATAGAGAGTTCCTAAAATAACTTTCATGTATTTTTAACTAAATTTTAACTAAAAAATGAATTTAGGCTAATAAAAGCACCCTATCGGCAGTGTACCCGAACCCCAACCAATTGCGAAATTCAAACTGGCGGAGGATTCCGTGGCCCATAATCGTTTACACAAAAATCAATGCAAAGTCGTGCTGTTGTTGTGCAACAATATTTGTCCCGCCAATAGTGATTACTTCTCTCAGTTCCCTTTCCTATCATTTTCCGTCAGTTTCTTTATCTTCTCTTCAGACTTCAGAGCCATATTTTTTTTCAATTACTTATTATTTTATTCTTTCCACGAGTTTGGACCAACAACCAATAATATATTAATATAAAAGGTAGAAGCGAGAAAAGCCATTTGTTTATCGGGAGTCATCTTCAGTCGTAATATTGATAAGCTTGATAGATGAACGGGAGGAAGATGGCTACAATTCAGCAGCTATATTTTGCGACTTTGCTGTTGCTTTTAGGGGCCATTTCCAGCTTTCACCCACAGGCTCGTGAACTCTAAGCCTTTTTATTTTCCCTTTGCTTTCCGTGTTGTCCCCTTCCTTAGTTTTATTTGTTTCCTATCCGATCTCTTTTGTATTCTTAGCTTACCTTGAATCTTTTAACTGATTTCAATTTGCAGAGCTCTTTTCTTTCATTTTCTTGCTATTCTCAGTTTCCCTTTGAAATTATATGATGAATTCATGTTTACTGAGTCTGAGTCTCTGATTGATATGGGCAATATGAAATGGGATTTAGTGCATCGGATCCAAATTGCTCTGTTTTGTTCAGTCTCAAACTGGGCCGATTGCGTAATTATGACCTGAGGTAGCGACTTGAATAACGTAATGATTCCCCTTTATGCACTCTTGCAAAACAATCCAATGACTGATCCTATGGAAACTAAGATTTCTCATATATATATATATAGAGAGAGAGAGAGCGCTTCACTTGAGCGATCCCTCAAATAAGTTTATTATGCATACTATGAGTAATACATAAAGATCAACTAACTGATGAAGTGAGAGAGTTGACAAAAACGTCAAATGCTATTCTTCATTGTAAATATACTAGCTACTATAGCATGTGGGCAAGGGATTTGATTTTTAGGGTAGAGCTTCCTAGAACCTCATATACTCAGTTGGGCAATGGAAATTCTCTTCCCTGCTGCTTGTGTGTGTTAATGTCTAAAATCAGTAGTGAGGCCAATTTAATCTTCTTCTGTGTTTATGTCAATTGGTTGGATAACTTGTTTTCTCTACGTTCATTTTAAAAGTCATTATTGAACCTAATGGTTGCTGACCAGAAAGAAAACTAACGGTTGATCATCTCCACAGTTTATTGCAGCCAAACCAGTTACCAAGAGTAAGCTTAATTCTCGTATTCTTCAGGTATTCCCTTTTGCTCGCTGTATATGGTCAGTAAGTCATTGCAATGGAAGTAGTTAGCACACATACACAGTGGGGAGGGAATAATAACTGAGAATTCCATTCCAATATTAATTGTGAAAGAATATACTATTATCCTTTTGACTCTTGTCATGGCCAAGCAGGACTCAATCATTAAGCAGATAAATGAAAACCCCATGGCTGGATGGGAAGCTGCCATGAATCCCCGATTCTCCAATTACACTGTGAGTCTTCAACCGGAAGGGTCTTCTTATGGTCAAGTTTAAAGGACTTTCCTGCCCTTTTATTGCCATAGAAATGCATAAATTGGTTTTTCATATTCCTCCTGGGTCCCAAGATTTCCTTTTCATTGCACAGGTTAGCCAGTTTATGCACCTTCTGGGAGTTAAACCAACACCTCGAAAGGATTTGCAGAGTTTTCCTATTTTAACTCATCCAAAATCTTTGAAGTTGCCAACTAATTTTGATGCAAGAACAGCTTGGCCTCAGTGCAACACCATTGGAAGAATTCTAGG